GTATCTGTTTGCCACCTTTTTCACGTGAGAGTGTAAACGTAGAATTGGCAGGCGTGTCCAGCATCACCTTATTTGGATTTAAAGTGACAGAGCTGTTAATAGATCACCTTTAAACAAACTTTATGGCACCAATTTAGCTCCATAAATCCCACCAGAACAGAGAGAGGATCCCGCCCATAGACTGCAATATTAGTTGAAATGTCAGGATTTGTAAATTCATATCTTCTAGTTTGTTTTTCCCAAAACCAATTGTGGTTTTCAAGGAGTGGCTGTTTGTTCAGACATTTAAATCCTGTGAGATTTTCGCTTGTCTCTACTGTTGATGTAGTATTGATATTTTAAGTCTGGCATTTTAAAGACTAAAACGAAAAAAAAAAATATTTATACAATAGCATAATTACAAAATAAGTCAAAACAGAAGAAGAGACACATTTTCAAATAAAACATATGAAACTAATGCTTACAGTAGAAAATGCACATACTGATAACATGTAGTGTATTTTTTTTCACCTATAATCAATCAATCAATCAATCAATCATGTTGTGAGCACATTTCAGCTACACGGCAGTTCCAAGTTGCTTTACATCATAAAAACACACAAAAAAGAAACACTGGCCCAGAAGATGGAAAATAACGTTTAAAAAACAAAGCTTGTGTATCAACAAGAGGTCTCACTTCAACATAAATTGTAGGTGTGTTTCTGTGTTTCATACATTTTTGGTTAAAACTTGTTACTTGCAGTGGGTAAAGTGTCTGGAAATGTTGCACAAGTAAGAGTAGCAAAAATTTTTACTTCATAATAACATTACTCAAGTAAAAGTAAAAGGTACAGTGTAGTAAAACTACTCCTATTTTTCCACAAAAGTTACTTTTAATTAATTATTTCTGAGCTTTAAAATCCTTAGTATCAAAATTTACTGGGTATTGTTTTTGTTTTCCTATATTTTGGCTGTAAACAGCATTATAAAAAAGTAAGAGATGAAGACACAGCCCACTCTGTTTCAATTATTTTGGGATTTAAGTGAATTTAATGCTGCGTTTTGATGGTCTGTTTCATTTCGCCTGCCGATCCTAAAGGACGAGCAGCAGTCAAATCTCTTGGGTTAATTTAAACCAGATGTTTGGCATGAATAATTCATTAAATTTAAAGTTGTCCTTTAAACAGCCACAACAGTGCAGTTTGCCCTCCAGGACGTGTCAGTTTCTGAGGCTTTAGAGACAACTTGTTTGGATATTAACTCTGGTTTTAACTGTGCTATTTGGCTTCAAGGTATTTAATTCTTATTGGAGAGGAACAAAATGTGAACTATTACTCTAATACACTTTTAAGAGCCTTACATGAGGCATCATGTGCCTTGTTAAATGAATACCAACATGACTGATTCACTAAGAGAAGCTTTCCTGTGTATATTTTTGATGAATGTTTTTGTGGATTTATTGTGTTTATGCTTACCCCAGGTTTTCTTTTTAAATCCTGTTTGTTAAACTTTTCTGACATTAACAGCACTTTTTTCTCCACTTTGTTAAGCCTGGCACAGAATTTTTAATTTGAGACAAATTGCATTCAAACCCATTTATTTCCCTGAAGACTTTGGAGTTATATTAGGCTTGAGTGCTGTCAACTGAAGGAGTTCTCAGTGTGATGATGGAGGAGGAGCAACTTAACAATGGCTTCTGTTAGGAAGCTTATAAAACGTCTTCTCAGGGGAAACCAGAGCGCCGGACACAGAACCAAAACTGTTCTGGAGCTGCAAGGAAAGATGGAGCAGAAACGAGCCCAGAGGCGCTGGAATGGATTTAGAAATCAACAAAGACTCAGATTTTACTGGTTTCACTAAATATGATGGAAATCAGAAATAAAATGGGAAAATGGTGCCCATCAGTCCATCCATCCATCTGTTCATCCATCCATCCCTCCTTCCCTCAGTACCTCTGAACTCTGTAAATGTGATTTTTGGAACGTTTCTCTGTAGGTTTGTAGAGTTTCTGGAAGCTGTGCTCAGCGGTGGAGCCTCCATTTACTCAGGATATTGCACAGCAACACAGTAAAACTCCGCCATGCGGATGCTGTAAACTTAATGAGAAGAAAACAGTGCCACGTAATTCACCGCTGAATCGCAGAGAGCAGATATGTACGATCATCTAATCAGGGTAAATCATCAGCTCAAACAGACAGCTGAAACTTCTTTAGAATTATCAAAAAATATTAACATAAATGAACTTTTCATTTAGTTTGAATGGCTCTCTGCTCGGGAATTATCCTGAAATTATCCCAAATACCTGTAGGTGCACCATAAAGCAGCCATGTGTTGAGCAGCTGTGGCGGCTCCCTCCCCCACGTTCTTTACCTGCAGTAATCAGGGAAGAAACAAAGTCATTCAACATATTTACACTACAGAAATACAGAAACTTACCAAGTATTTCTGGTCAGGTTTCTAGTGGAAACATCTTATTACACTTGAAATAGGACAAAACTAACTTCCAGGTAACTTTTCAGCAAGATATAAAAGTTTGTTTTAAGTCAATAAATGTTTAATATTGATGAGAAAATGCAAGTTCCTATGGCAGATTACTTCACTTATAGCTTGGGGGAAAATGTCTTGTTATAAGAAAAATTGTCTTCCAATGTAGTTGGTACTTTTTCCATCAATATTAAGAAATTATTTTTCTCTAAATAATTTCTTAAAAGTTACTTGCAAGTTAGCTTTGTCTCAATTCAAGTGTGATGAGATATTTACACTAGAAACTAGACAAAAATGCCTTTTAAGTAACTTAGCAGCAAGAAATGAAGCTTGTTTTCAGTCCATAATTCATTAGTACTGATTTTTTTTTTTGTTGAAATTCTGGTTCCACTGCACTCTAAGAAATAATCCTATAAATGTACAGTCAAATACTGGCAGCTATGGATGCCAGAAGTTTAATGTAAATGCACAATAGCTGTACCGTAATTAATCCTGACAGTATATTACTGTCAATGGAAGTACGGTACAGATACTGTGAAAGAATGGTAAACTTTTGGCGTCTATAGCTGCCAGTATTTTACTGTTCTTCCGAAAGAACGGAAATTTTACGGTCGGCCACCGTAAAATTTCACATAACACAAAAGAGGATGCGATAAGTAACCTTCAGAACAGATCTTTTTATTTAAAGGCATCACTAGGCCTCAAACCAGATATATATTTTCAGTATGTTCAAACATTCAAAACAAATAACACAAAACCATTCCTCAGAGAACTGGTAAAAAATAGGCCTTCAAAGTCCATATATAGTTTCACCAACACTGGAATAAAAATTGAAGACTTTCAGTTTACAGCTACATAAACTGGGTTTAACTCATTAATTTCTACAATCTTATGAACATAAAAACACAGTTCCTAAAATAAATATCCATGCTTTGGGTATCACTAAACAAATCAAAGAAAAATTACTTCCAAAATCTAAAATTCAACATGGCTGAAATAATGTGGAATTCTAGTATTAACAGGGTTTTAAAATGTGAACTATTAATGGTTTTCAAGAGTCCAAGTGGCACTTACTTTATTAGATGCAGATGAAGGCACCGTCCAACATGGAAAAAGAAAAGACAATACAATTTAGATCCTAAATAATATGGAAACAGAAAGATTTCAAAGAAAAGAACAACTAACCTGAATGAGATGCCACTCAAAGTCCATCAGGTTTTTGATGAGGGTGGAAACCTGAACATTCAGCATCTGCCTTTTCTTTCCTGTCTTTTTGAATACCATCTTCCCATGACCGGCTTTTGTGCCTCTTTCTGGGTTAATCCCAGTGAAGCGACTAAAAAACTAAATCAAAAATGGGACAATTCCTGAGAATATAAATAGTGGGGCATTCTGAAGATAGCAGGTACAATATATAAAGCCGCTTTTAATTATGTAAAGAGAAAACATCAACTTTGTCAAATGTTAATCATAACTTGCTTTAAAACCATGTCATTGTATTTTGCTCATTGTAAAAAAAATTATAGGAATGGTTTTACCGTTGAATGAACCAAAGTCTTGGCTGCCTCATTGGAGGCTGAAGATGAAGAAGATGGACAACACTGTCCTGTCTGGAATGTTGGCTGGACCCTCTCAAAGACAATATGGCCTTCAATGCTGACCATGCAGAAAACTGCTTGCCACAGGGACTGTAATAAACCAAGTCCTTAATTGGAAGAACATAAAACAAATCCTCTTATTGATACAGTATGCATTTAAATGATCATCATAATAAATAGTGTCCACTCTGTCAGGTAAAGTAAAAGCAAGGATCTTAAACTCCTCAATTGTCGTGCAAGTCACATCAATGTTGAAAACTGTAGGCTGGATTAATTTACAGAAGTTGTAGAGGAATTCATGGTACTTTGCACTGAAGGTGAAGTGTGCTTTGAAAGTTCATCAAAAGCTACCTTGGATGATCTTGTGATCACTGATGGTGAAGTGTCTTTGGTGCTGCTCTTGTTTTCACCAACATGCAGGAGGAAGGGCTGTCCTGGTTGCACGGCAATGAGGAAGGCTTCAACACTGGCTTGCATCTTTGACATAATGATAAGAAGACGAATAATAAAAATTATTAAATATATTTAGCAGCACAGCTAAATTCAGATAGCAAACAAAGCCAATGAGAAAGTGTTTCTACAAAGAAGTAGGATCATTAGAATAACAACATACCTGCACATATCTGACAACATGGTCCACAGTTTGACCTGAGCTGTTTTGGATTCTGCCACATTTCTGGAATAGAGGCACATCAAAAACATGCAGAGCAGGGAGGCATGAGTTGAGAAACACTGACATAAAGCATAAAAATGTCCGAAATAATTACCATGAACACAACTCAGACATTAGGCATTATAGAAATTGGTCAGGTTATAGAAACATTCTGGACAGCATTTCTTCTGCCAACCTGTCAAAAGAAATGTTGAAGTCATCATAACACGCTTCAGTCATCAACATGACGTACTAATGAAGAAAAAAAAGGCAGCCGATATGTAATTATTTATTGTATGTATAGAGACAAAAACATTTTGGCTTAGCTTTGATCGCATATTATGCCATCTAATGCCGAAAACTTCAAGAAAACGACTCCGCAGCTTTAAATGCTGGTTCTCTAAGATGCAAATACATGTAAAATGTCTTGCCTAGAAAAAAAACTGTATTGTACAATCATTTTACGGTAGTTTACTGCCAGTCGTCAGTCTAGATTGTGACAACAGAAGAAGACGTCAATTTAACAATATTCTACTGTATTTTCTATTAACAGTATTACTGCTAGAATTCTGCTGTAAATTTACAGCCATTTCTAAGAGTGTGGCAGATTATTTCACTCATAACATGGGAAACCATATTGTTATGTTATATAATCTACCAGTGGAACTAGTAGTTTTTAAATTAATAAGAAATTATTGATTTAAAACAACCTCTTATATCTTGCTGAAGTTACTTGGAAGTTAGTTATAAGATATTTGCATTGGGACCTGCACAATAAATGCTTGTTCAAACGTCGTTTTTACAGTGTAGGTGTTTAAAAATAAAACCTCAAGTGGTGACATCAGTCACTAAAACCAGAAGCCAAATCAGTGGTGGATAAAAGGCGGTTCTGCTTCTCTGACAGTGAATCAGAGACGTAAAGGCCTTGCGGTCCACCAGAATGTTTATTTAGTTTCTCTAAGTCGTGCCAGCTTTTTGCCAGGATATGTTTTGTGATTATCTGTAAAATCCCTCCCAGTTGCTGCCGTCTCAGTGTAAAGCACATTATATCAATAGAAACCAGCTGCACATTTTTAATGCATTCCTCAAAAACTGCTGTTTAAAAACGGAGAAATACCAAGAACACACACATATATATATATATATATATATATATATATATATATATATATATATATATATATATATATATATATATATATTTTTTTAAAGGAAATTCTTGCATGAACGTGTTGAACTCACTGTGCTGCTCTTTCCTGTTTAGGCCACACAGGGCGTCTGCTGCAGTCCCTCTGCTTCACCAGTATGTCCTTCCTGCTGCTGCACATCATCTATCAGATTACCGTCAACAGCCTCCTGGCCGGCAACTCCATCTCCTCCAACTTCAGCTGTGAGTACACTGCAGCCTTTGTGGTTGAAGCTTTAAGGCAGAGCGCCGTTGTGTGCAGAGGAACCGAAGCACTTAGAATAATCTGAGAACGGACCTGAGAGATGCACTGCAAAAACACAAAATCTTACCAAGTATTTTTGGTCTAGTTTCAAGTGTAAATATCTTTGTTCACTTGATTTA